TGAATTGTTTTTTCTTTGTTCGTTTCTTTTTCTATACTTTGAAATAAATGAACAAGAAAAAAAGAAATTTTCTTTTACTCTTTCGCCTCACAGAAAAGAAAAAAGCTAAAATATAAGATTACGTCATATGTTTCTTTTCTTTGTCTTCTTTTATTTATTTGTTAAATGAAAAGAAATGAATTAAATAAAAATTATTTTTCGCAAAAAATATTAATTATTAAAGTGAAAAATAAATTGTTTTTTTGAAAATATTTATTATTTAAATGAAAAGAAAATTTTGTGTTATTTTGAAATTATTTATTGTTAACATAAAAATATTTATTGTTGAAATTGAAATGAAAAGAAAAAATTTGAGTTATTTTAACAATGTTTATTTTAAAAATCAAAAAAATAAAAGTTACAAAAAAATAAACAACAACAGTGAAAAAATATATATACTTACATTTGTGTTCGTTTGGATTGAATTGAATTGTTGAATGGAGCTAAAACATAAAAATAACAATTAATTTTATTTGTTTGGAATAAGGTTTAAGTGAAAGTAATTTACTTTGCTGTTGAAGAAATCGAGATGAAATGAATTGATTGGGATGAGAAAATTTGTTATTGCTTACCAGCTAATAGTCGCTCGCGCGACCAAGATCTACCTTGGTGGTGTCATAGAGAGCCAAGGCTCTTCACGTGCAGACATAGATCTAACGTGTATAGAACATACAACATAGAGATCTATATGCAGCCTGTACCTGCTATGGGCACCAAGATAGGCTTGACCAGTTTCACGCCGATGTATGGAAGGCCTTCGTAGGACGTAAAGAATATACAAATTTACAAGAGTATACTTACCTTTTTTTGTATTACTAAAATAGATGATAGAAAAACAATTATGATCATATAAAATAGAAAATAGAAAAAAGTAAATTTAAACTAAAATGAAAATAGAAAGACAATTATTATCATATAAAAATTACAATAAATAAATGGGATAAAAAGCTGAGACAACGAAAAAAATAAAAAAAATAAAACTAATACTTACCTGTGATATAGAACAATGGTAAGTACGAATACAAGCTAAAATAGTTAAAAAATAAAATATACATATACTCATGTAAGAAGAAGAGAAAGAAAGATGTGGAATGATTTCTAGCGTTAAAAACCATTGCTATTTATAGTCATTTTTGTTATTCGTAATAATTAGACAATTGGTAATCAATCGAGATCAAATAAATTTCATTTCTATTTGTAAAATTTAACATTCCGCTCACTACATAAAGTGGTCTTTGATGGTTTTGATTGATTGCTATGCAATCGATCGTAAAGATCACAAGCATTCCTAAGAGTGACAAAAAATCAAATCTTGTAGTATTGACTAGACCGCTAATTGATCTTTTATGTTGTCGTGTTACATCGTATATGCACCAACAACAATTATTGACGATCTTTTATATTTATTTTTCTAGATGATGTTTTACATGTATACAGAAATTGCTCAACGTTTATGACTTATTTTTCAATTAAATCTTGATATGAATATTCAGTTTCTATATTTAAAAACAACAGTAAAGAACAAGTAATTAAAAAGATGAAATTTATTTGTATTTTTAATAGTTTTCAAAATGAAATCTTATCGCATGAAATAATCGACCTTTTTCGTCAAATATAAAAGTACAGCTATTTGATTATTTATATTGTCACGATGAGGAAGTGTTACTCTAAATACGTTTACCTTCTCCAACGCTAAATACGAAAGGGAATTTAGAGGTGCCAGAGAAAATGTTGTTCACTTCTGATTCACTTGTAAATAATTCTTTTTTTATTCCTTTTCATGAGAACAATAAAATTGATATGATTAAATCCTAAATGTTTAGGTAGAAGCTTTTATTCGATTAATGAAAAACAAAATTGAAACGAATACAAATAGAAAACAGAAATATTGTAAATGGATCGTACATATATCATTCGAATTTGATTATTAGATGTTTGTTGGTCAAGGGATATGGTCAAACGTCCAGAAAGATGAATTCATAGTGTCATCAAACCATTTTCTATTCAAGAAAAATACTTAGTTTTCTTTACAGATATAATGCCCGATCGAGGTTTCACGATAAGATTTGTTTTGACGATTATGATTAATATCTTTTATTCAATTACAATGTGAATACATTTGATGAATTGTTACTTTACGAGTACCATACATTTATTCATTCTATTCCAATCTGTGAGTCTAGAAATGACTGTCGAAAAACAAGAACGATGATCATGGAAAAACCTATCTTAAAAGCATGAAATAATTCAGGATTAAAATCTGAAAGTTACATTTTGTTCGATCATCTTTTTTCATTTTATTAAACAGCAACAATTATTTGATCAACTTGAATTAAAGATGATAAATTGTAATACTTGTTCAGTCTACAAGTGAAATAATACTATTGGGGCAATATTCTTAGTCTAAATAAAAAAAGATGATAAAAATCTCATCTATTATCGAAGGAATAATTAATTTTCTTATTTTTGAATACAACTATGAGAGAGTTGACATTGTTATTAACGAATTCGTAGCCACATATATCAATACAAAATCGTTCTAGTACTGAATCAGAAATTGAACAAATCTCATTAGTTATTGATGTTCTTGTGCTATAATTCTTTCATTAGGTAGATCAACAAGATGAACTTTATTTCGATGCATGTTTCAATGTGTTCTGTAGAACATAATTTTTTAGAGATTCATAATTAATTTGTTTGTGATTTTTTCACCAACCAGTCGTTCAAACTCTTCTATGTTGCTGTAAATTAATCTTAAATTTATAATTTACTAAGAGGTAAAGGATCTCTCACGATCGGATACATGTTGTAATGACGAAAACTATCGATCCCAGGTCGAAGCAACCGGTCCGGGAAACGGCCGGTTCCCGCGCATTCTCGCGATTTCACGAAAGCAGTATTCCGGATCGGAAAATCTGCGGATTTTTCCTGTAAATTCCGCCAAGTTCCTGTTGTTTCCCGTCGGAAATCATCGGAAATCACCGGGAAAATCCGGAGAAATCCGTCCCGGAATACTGCTTCCAGGGTCCAGTGACATCCGGCGTTTTCCTGCACGTCCCGGTACGTTTCCTGCATGTTCCTGGTTGGTTCCACTTAAATCCGCTCATTTCCGGAGGCCGGAAACATCGTCCTGGGTAGTGCAATATTTCAAAAAACGTAACTGGTTTTACGCTAAGGCTTTCTTAATCAAGGAAACAACAATACAGGCGTGTGAGCGACTAGTCGTTCGGCGTCGCCCCTGTGGGGCGCCACTTACGGTTTGCCGTTTCCACAAAATCCGCAATGCGTAAAAAAGATCGTTAGTGGCTAGTCCTGCAAGACCTTAAATCTAGACAAAATATATCTATCATTATCATCATCAGTGAGTCGGACACTTTCAAAACAGTGCGTTATGCTAAAAGACGTGCTAAATTTCCTCAATTCATTATATACTAGATCGAACTTGAAAAATCACAAATTATTAATTGCACGCCTCAGTTAAATCAGTTATTTTTCCTGGAATCAAGAAGTTGATTAGTTAAGGATACTAATACATTCAAATATCCATCTGCAAAAGAAAAATATTTTCAATCGAATTTTCAGTTAATCATCAATTTCCTTCATTTTAATAACTAGCTATATTTTTCAAAATGTGCCATTGATCTCAGAGCACTCATCTTTGTTTACCGAAAAATCCACTAGACTATTTAAAAAAATTGATCTCGGATTCGGAATCCCCGACCCCGACTACTTTTGGTCAAACGTTATAGAAAATTATCTTTTTCCTAAAAAAGTATTTCAGTGCCCTAAAAAACGAATACTCAAAATTTTGAAAAAGCTGATCAGAGATTCGAAATCCCCGATTACCTAAGGTAGATCTTTGAAGAATCGGTGCTGCAATTTTTATTTGCTTTAGTGCATACTGAAATCTGATTCGTTTGACAAACAAACATACATACAAACAAATTTTAAAGATATCTGAGCTGCGTAAAACCCTTTCTTTCAGAAAAGGGAACATATTAACGAATAAATGTCGTAATTTACAAAAGCAAAAAATCATCTAACAATATATACAAATTAATGACGACTAATTATATTAATTTCAGTTATTGAGATGAATGGGGTATTGTGATGTTGCACAACCACCAATTCGAATACGAGCACCAAGGATGGGTTCTTGAACACATCGACATGGTAACTTGAGTCGAGTTTTTCCGTTTTCTTCTTCATCTTTTGTTGTTACGTCTGTCAATTTCTTTTGAAAACTTTCAACATTAGCAACTGTCCAATTGGCCGCATTCAATAGATATTCACCATCAGGTAAACCAATTGATTCAACTTTACGCCCAAAAAGCAATGTTTCTAAACAAAATCCAGCTTCACGTTGACTATCAACAATACTTTTTGGTAGTGTTTGAGCTAAAATCAAGTTGCGTGCTTTTGGAATGATTGTTCTTCGAAGACCTAAAATACATATAGCCTTTTAGGGGATACGTTGAGGATATTGGTATTAGACAAATCGTAAGTTCTACTTACCATGTGCAATTTCATGAATTATAACAATTAAAAGCGCTGTCCATTCTTTAATCATACTGTCATCAGCTGAATCCAATTTCCAATCCCATCTGAAAAGGAATAACAATTTTTCTATCTTATTTTTGAACGAAAGCGAAAGTTTTACCTAATCATCTTGTCAATGCTTTTGAATAAACCACGTTCAGAACTATTTAAAAGTAATTTTCCATCATATAGAGTTAATGCACAATAATAATCCGGAAGATTCGCAAGATACATATGCATTTGCAATTTTGAAACATTGTCTTTTAATGATTGTTCAATTGTTTCTTGTGAAACATTTTCTTCATAATTAAT